TTATTGTCTGGGCTATAGCCAACCCGGCCCATGACACGGCTGTATTTTTTCGTGACCGATCGATTTGTTTTTCTTTATGTTTTTGTAATTTGGAGAAAGATTAATGGTCCAGTAAATGCTTGTCATTCCTTCTACTTGGTGATCAGATGTGTCAATTCATGAGAATGTAAAACACAGAAACTGAGACTTATCTTACCTAATATTACCAAGAGATTACACCAGTCCTGAAAATAGCTCCCATGGGTTCCTGCCTTTACCCAGCCCCACCCATTTTCATACATTGTGTTATGTTTGTTCTGTTATGTTATTAGTTATCGAGTAGTTAAAAAAATCAAAAACTTGTAATATTGTAAATTATTAATATTTGTCAAAAATTAGTAACATTGTTAATTATTATTAATTGTGACTAAAAATTAATTTTTAATCATTACCCACACCCACACCCACGACCCACGATCCACGACTTGTACCCACGACCCACGACCCACGACCCACGACCATTAGACAAACTCTTCTGCAGCTCTATCCCGCGCAGGCTAACTAAACGGATTTGTCACCTGTGCTGAGATTTTGAGTGTTAGACGATTCACGGGTCATCATTTTAAAATGATGTTTGAGAACTCAATATATTATACCCGTGAATCGTCTAACACTCAAAATCTCAGCACAGGTGACAAATCCGTTTAGTTAGCCTGCGCGGGATAGAGCTGCAGAAGAGTTTGTCTAATGGTCGTGGGTCGTGGGTCGTGGGTCGTGGGTACAAGTCGTGGATCGTGGGTGTGGGTGCGGGTGTGGGTAATGATTAAAAATTAATTTTTAGTCACAATTAATAATAATTAACAATGTTACTAATTTTTGACAAATATTAATAATTTACAATATTACAAGTTTTTGATTTTTTTAACTACTCGATAACTAATAACATAACAAAACAAACATAACACAATGTATGAAAATGGGTGGGGCTGGGTAAAGGCAGGAACCCATGGGAGCTATTTTCAGGACTGGTGTAATCTCTTGGTAATATTTTGAGAAAATTTCGTTTTGGTCAAGCGCTTGAACAACACGCACACAAGTTAACTTAATGCTAAAAAGAGCAAATCGGAAAATTAAGGAAGCCGGGATGAGTTCCATAGTAAGAGTAGTCAATCATTATTTATCTGAATAAGCAATAGGATGCTTATCTTTGAATTGATCCCAATTAGTAGTCACAAAAGAAAAGCAACCAGTTTGGAGCAAAAAACAATTTATTGAAAACTACAGGCTATAAAATAAAACCCAGAGAGGGTGGGAAGGGTAAAACAAGCGAGACAACATCGAACTCTATATAACCGAGAACAAACCTGACACATGAGAAAATGCAAGGGGTGACAGGCCGCACATCTATACCGGCGTGAAACCTTGTGTAAACCTTTTATATTTTAGCTCTAACGAGCTTGTCCTTTAGGGATTTTCCTTTCCTGTAGGAAGTGATAGGTGGTTTTTTAAAAATTTGGCGAAGTAACGGTTGGTTTTCTATAAGATTCCATTTTTTCATTAAAACTTCTTTTAAAGTAGACACTGAGGGCTGGTACTGTGTCACGAAAGGCAATATTGCTTTTTCCTCTAGATTTTTCCTTGAATCTTGTGCCTTTGTATACACATTTTCCGATTTGCTCTTTTTAGCATTAGGTTAATTTTTGTTCGTGTTGTTCAAGCGTTTGACCAAAACAAATTTCAAAATATTATCAAGAGATTACAACAGTCCTGAAAATAGCTCCTATGGGTTCCTTCCTTTACCCAACCCCACCCATTGTCATACATTGTGTTATGTTTGTTTTGTTATGTTATTAGTTATCGAGTAGTTAAAAAATCAAAAACTTGTAATATTGTAAATTATTAATATTTAACAAAAATTAGTAACATTGTTAATTATTAATTATGATTAAAAATTAATTTTTAATCATTACCCACACCCACACCCACGACCCACGACTGGTACCCACGACCCACGGCAATCAGACAAACTCGCTGCAGAAACAATGGCCTCCCACGGTCCCCACGAGAGAAGCTTCAACTTTTTACAGTTCTCTCCCTACGTGTGAAAGATAGCTGAAGGTCTCTCCTTACAAGAAAGGAATATACTATTTGTAGATCGCTACGTAAAACAGAAACATATTCACTTGGATACCGATAGTTAGGAGGGCTTTCAATGCAATGTCCGTCAGAAATAAAACTGAAACTTAACTTGCCTTGCCAAAAACACAGGTATTAGGAACCCCAAACATTGACCCTAGAACGGCCATAATTTTTGGAATTTCCGGTTAGATCTAATCAGTCACGTGAGACTGTCATGCCATATTATGGGAAGGAGGTGCGTTGTGGAAAGTCCTGGTTAAAAATAACGCCAATCGTTTCTTGTTTCAAAGTGCAAACTTGCTAGGTATTTTTATTCATAACGGTACAAGTTACTATACAGCCTCGGCTTTAGAAAGACGCAGTCGGCAGACCAATGAACCCCCATTGTGGGGGTCTTGTTGTGTATGGGATGAAATTGTTTAGAATGAGTTCTTTCTTCCATTCATAGTTGTTCCTAACTCAAAATTTTATTACGGAAACTATTTGGTTTTGAAGCAATGAAGACTGGATTTTTGTAAATACAAGACTGCAGATACACGTACTATAGACTTGAATATGAAAAGACACCTCGCCAAATCAGTTTATATTTTAGCCTGCAGTGCAGGCGTTTTCTTCGGGTGCGCGAATGTTTTTGCTCGCGAAAGCGCCATGTTGAAACTCCCGAAGAGAGGATGAAATGGGGCGAGTCAAAGGGAGCGGGGAGGGGGCGGAAAGAGAGAGAGGAGAAAATCACATTTGCTCAGTCAAAACATAGACTGAGCAACTGAACCCTCCAGAGCATAATCTACTCGCCAGAAAAAAACGTATTGGAACAAGCAGCATTTTGGCATGAGGTAAAAGGGGTGTAGGTTTTAGCACTATGAGCAAATCTTATCCTGATGCCAGTGTATACGTAGAAATCGCTTTGACTTTCTTATCGCGTAATACACGCGACATTCCCAGCCGCTCCAATTCAAAAATACTTGTTTCGACAGCCGAGTTAAAATTCGAATTTATGTCCGCCATTTCNATACAGCCTCGGCTTTAGAAAGACGCAGTCGGCAGACCAATGAACCCCCATTGTGGGGGTCTTGTTGTGTATGGGATGAAATTGTTTAGAATGAGTTCTTTCTTCCATTCATAGTTGTTCCTAACTCAAAATTTTATTACGGAAACTATTTGGTTTTGAAGCAATGAAGACTGGATTTTTGTAAATACAAGACTGCAGATACACGTACTATAGACTTGAATATGAAAAGACACCTCGCCAAATCAGTTTATATTTTAGCCTGCAGTGCAGGCGTTTTCTTCGGGTGCGCGAATGTTTTTGCTCGCGAAAGCGCCATGTTGAAACTCCCGAAGAGAGGATGAAATGGGGCGAGTCAAAGGGAGCGGGGAGGGGGCGGAAAGAGAGAGAGGAGAAAATCACATTTGCTCAGTCAAAACATAGACTGAGCAACTGAACCCTCCAGAGCATAATCTACTCGCCAGAAAAAAACGTATTGGAACAAGCAGCATTTTGGCATGAGGTAAAAGGGGTGTAGGTTTTAGCACTATGAGCAAATCTTATCCTGATGCCAGTGTATACGTAGAAATCGCTTTGACTTTCTTATCGCGTAATACACGCGACATTCCCAGCCGCTCCAATTCAAAAATACTTGTTTCGACAGCCGAGTTAAAATTCGAATTTATGTCCGCCATTTCTGAATTCAAAATAATTCTTTCCCGCAGTTGCGTGCAAACGAAACGGAATAATTAATACCGACTTACAGTTAATTGGCAGGCATCAATCTACTTCCCCTATGCGGCAGCAATCAGGAGCTCCGTTTTCCAGCGTACGGAGTTTCCCAAAAGAACAATGATATCGGGCAGGCGTATTTTTTCTCCCCTCCCCCTCCTCCCTTTCCTTCTTTCGCTCTCGCACCTACCCTAAGCAGTTACTATTTCTACTCTCCCCAATCTTCCTTTGTCATAAAATCAAACATGGCGGCTACAACATTACGAACATGAACAAGCTTTCGCCCACCCAAAATACGCCTGCACTGCAGGCTATTTATATTTAAAATAAAAAACTTGTATTTTCATAAGATAAAATGTTTCCCTACCTATTTCTAAATGGCCAAAGGCTAATTATTATAGCCTGTGAACAAGCTCTCTTTTTTGGGAAAGGGTGAAAAAATCGAGGCTTTACACGTTGTTGAGCTTCAGGTTTGATTTACATCGCTTTTTTGGTCGGCACGTAGCACGCGATTTATTTTAAATAATCGCTTGTAGACGAGTCTTCTGATCTTTAACATGGCGTCTTCTGGAGCTTGCCTGATGAGCTTTTTTAGCGGCAATAAATGTTCCTGTATCTTAAAGGTAAGTACGTGGTGTAAGCAGAAACAACAGCCGCAGAAAATCAATATGCGTGTCACGAACTCTCAGTATGAAATAAGCGGCAAACATCACATTTTCTCAATTAACACTAAACACTCAAGAGCATAGTCTACCCGCCAGAGAAGAAACTCATTGGAAAAAGCAGTATTTTGGCACGAGGCAAAAGTTGTGTGTTGCCTACCGATCCCCTTTTTACACGCGAGAGTGATTACATTCCAATGTATCCAAGTGACAGATAACGATCTTGCTGACAGATGATCGGCAGTTACAAGACAAGAAGGCGGAGTAGCGACCTCAAATGTTTGTTTACAGGCACTCACCCTCTCCCTTCCCTCTCCTCACGATTTTTTCACCCTTTCCCCAAACAGAGAGGCTGTTCACAGGCTAAATTATTATAACATTTCGAACTGCCTTTCTTTTTTTTTCTCAAGATATAACCTTGATAACTCTACTTCCGTAGAACTATGTGCTTAATAAATCTGGTCTTGTTTTTACCCCAATTATATGTTTTAGACAAGACCCTCATGGACAAGGTTCTACAATCGATTTACCCCAGCATGACTGCAGCTGCAGATTTTCTTTCGAACACTAAACGACTTGTCCAAGCTATCGTGCTGTGGAAAGAATGCTTAACATTCCTAAATAACAAACACTTAGAAAAAGAAAATGACCTTGCCAGAAAAGTGAGTATGATGCTGTACAATAGGCTGTGTCATGGGTATGCTGCTATTTACAAACTTTCTCCCGCTATAGAATCTGGCAAGAAGCTTTTAGTCCTACTTCGTAAATGTAAGAGAAAAAAAGAAGAATGTGACACAGCCTGGATGCTAGCAATACTGTACTATCAAAAAGGTGAATACAAGGAAGCACAACAATATCTTCAGAAAGCACTTCCCATCACGACAGAAATTGGCGACAAACACGGACAAGCGTCATGCTACATAAACCTAGGAAACGTGTTTGATTCTGTCGGAGAATATGCCAAGGCTGAAGAATATTATCAGAAAGCACTTACCATCAAGACAGAAATTGGCGACAAAGACGGACAAGCGTCATGCTACATAAACCTAGGAAACGTGTTTGATTCTGTCGGAGAATATGCCAAGGCTGAAGAATATCTTCAGAAAGCACTTCCCATCACGACAGAAATTGGCGACAAAGACGGACAAGCGTCATGCTACATAAACCTAGGAAACGTGTTTTGTTCTGTCGCTGAATATGCCAAGGCTGAAGAATATTATCAGAAAGCACTTCCCATCAAGACAGAAATTGGCGACAAACACGGACAAGCAACATGCTACATGAACCTAGGAAACGTGTTTCGTTCTGTCGCTGAATATGCCAAGGTTGAAGAATATCTTCAGAAAGCACTTACCATCAAGACAGAAATTGGCGACAAAGACGGACAAGCGTCATGCTACATAAACCTAGGAAACGTGTTTGATTCTGTCGGAGAATATGCCAAGGCTGAAGAATATTATCAGAAAGCACTTACCATCAAGACAGAAATTGGCGACAAAGACGGACAAGCGTCATGCTACATAAACCTAGGAAACGTGTTTGATTCTGTCGGAGAATATGCCAAGGCTGAAGAATATTATCAGAAAGCACTTACCATCAAGACAGAAATTGGCGACAAAGACGGACAAGCGTCATGCTACATAAACCTAGGAAACGTGTTTGATTCTGTCGGAGAATATGCCAAGGCTGAAGAATATTATCAGAAAGCACTTACCATCAAGACAGAAATTGGCGACAAAGACGGACAAGCGTCATGCTACATAAACCTAGGAAACGTGTTTGATTCTGTCGGAGAATATGCCAAGGCTGAAGAATATTATCAGAAAGCACTTACCATCAAGACAGAAATTGGCGACAAAGACGGACAAGCGTCATGCTACATAAACCTAGGAAACGTGTTTGATTCTGTCGGAGAATATGCCAAGGCTGAAGAATATCTTCAGAAAGCACTTCCCATCGACACAGAAATTGGCGACAAACACGGACAAGCAACCTGCTACATGAACCTAGGAAACGTGTTTTGTTCTGTCGGAGAATATGCCAAGGCTGAAGAATATCAGCAGAAAGCACTTACCATCACGACAGAAATTGGCGACAAAGACGGACAAGCAACATGCTACATGAACCTAGGAAACGTGTTTCGTTCTGTCGGAGAATATGCCAAGGCTGAAGAATATCTTCAGAAAGCACTTCCCATCAAGACAGAAATTGGCGACAAAGGCGGAGAAGCGACATCCTACGGAAACCTTGGAATTTTGTGTCTAACTATCGGTGAACATGCCAAGGCTGAAGAATATTTTAGAAAAGCTATTCAACTTAGCAAGGACACTGGAGACATCGAATTGCAGTTTATAGCTCACCTAAGTCTAAATTATTGTTCTTTAGCATTAAAAGGAAACGCATCTGAAGCTTTATCGAATCTCCGTACTAGCATTGAGAAGTGCGAGATAATGCTTAACTTTCTACCAAACAAAGATCGATACAAGATATTATTTTTTGATGAGCACGCGTCCCCCTATCGACTGTTTAGTTCACTGTGTTGTGCTACTGGGAAACACTATGAGGCTTTACACGTTGCTGAGCTTGGCAGAGCCAGAGCTCTAGTAGACCTAGTATCAGATCGGTATTTTGTGGAGAAAGAAGTATCCCTCGACCCAGAATCGTTTGCTGGCATTTTGAAGGTCATTAGAGATAGTAGTAACCGTACTTGCCTATACATTTCCTACCATGGTGAAGATATATTTCTTTGGACTGCAAAACAAAGCAAGCCGATAGCTTTCCGAAAAACGAAACTTTCTGAGATCTATGTTAGCAAGCACGGAAAACTGTCTGTGGATGACCTTTTTAAAAAGGGAAGATTATTAAGGAATTTTCACGTTTTACCTCAAGAGCAATGCGAAGACCGATCACTCTTCTCCTCGTACGCCAACCAACTTACAAACGAAGCAAATCTGGAAGATAGTCTCTCATCCTTGCGTCCTCTTTTAGATGAAGAAGAAGTAAACACCGACCCTGAACCGCTGTTTCAGCTTTACAACCTGTTGATTGCTCCCGTAAGTGACTTGCTAGAAGGATCTGAAATCATTGTTGTTCCTGATCGCTGCCTCTTCCAAGTTCCGTTTGCAGCATTACATGATGAATGTAACTGCTATTTATCAGATTCTTTCAGGATACGTATTGTCCCTTCTTTGACGACTCTCAAGCTCATTCTGGACAGTCCAGCGGGCTCTCACAGCGAAACTGGTGCATTGATTGTGGGTGAGCCGAATGTAACGGATGTGTATTTCAAGGGAGAGTTAAGGTACCTCTGTAAATTGCCTGGCGCGAAAGCGGAAGCAAAGATGATAGAAAGACTACTACCTGAATCTCACCTTTTAATAGGAGAGCAAGCAACAAAGGAGGCGGTTCTTCAGAGGATACCCTCAGTAAGTCTCGTACATTTCGCTGCTCATGGTGACGCCGAAAGAGGGGAAATTGCTCTTACCCCTCCCGACTCCACTATGGGGATTCCACATGAACAAGACTACTTACTCTCAATGGCCGACATCTCACAAGTTAGACTAACCGCCAAACTGGTGGTCCTTAGCTGTTGCCATACCGCACGTGGACAGATCAAAACAGAAGGCGTTGTTGGAATCGCTCGAGCATTCTTAGGATCGGGTGCACGCTCAGTAATGGTGGCATTGTGGGCCTTACAAGACGATGCAACAGAGCAGTTCATGAGAAGATTCTACGAAAACCTTGTCCAAGGAGAAAGTGCAAGTGAATGTCTTCACCGGGCCATGAAGTGGATGCGAAATAACGGTTTCTCTGAATTTGGCGACAAAGACGGACAAGCAACATGCTACATGAACCTAGGAAGCGTGTTTCGTTCTGTCGGAGAATATGCCAAGGCTGAAGAATATCTTCAGAAAGCACTTACCATCACGACAGAAATTGGCGACAAACACGGACAAGCGTCATGCTACATAAACCTAGGAAACGTGTTTTGTTCTGTCGCTGAATATGCAAAGGCTGAAGAATATCTTCAGAAAGCACTTCCCATCAAGACAGAAATTGGCGACAAAGACGGACAAGCGTCATGCTACATAAACCTAGGAAACGTGTTTTGTTCTGTCGCTGAATATGCCAAAGCTGAAGAATATCTTCAGAAAGCACTTCCCATCAAGACAGAAATTGGCGACAAAGACGGACAAGCGTCATGCTACATAACCCTAGGAAACGTGTTTTGTTCTGTCGGAGAATATGCCAAGGCTGAAGAATATTATCAGAAAGCACTTCCCATCAAGACAGAAATTGGCGACAAAGACGGACAAGCGTCATGCTACATAACCCTAGGAAACGTCTTTTATTCTGTCGGAGAATATGCCAAGGCTGAAGAATATCTTCAGAAAGCACTTCCCATCGACACAGAAATTGGCGACAAACACGGACAAGCAACCTGCTACATGAACCTAGGAAACGTGTTTTGTTCTGTCGGAGAATATGCCAAGGCTGAAGAATATCAGCAGAAAGCACTTACCATCACGACAGAAATTGGCGACAAAGACGGACAAGCAACATGCTACATGAACCTAGGAAACGTGTTTCGTTCTGTCGGAGAATATGCCAAGGCTGAAGAATATCTTCAGAAAGCACTTCCCATCAAGACAGAAATTGGCGACAAAGGCGGAGAAGCGACATCCTACGGAAACCTTGGAATTTTGTGTCTAACTATCGGTGAACATGCCAAGGCTGAAGAATATTTTAGAAAAGCTATTCAACTTAGCAAGGACACTGGAGACATCGAATTGCAGTTTATAGCTCACCTAAGTCTAAATTATTGTTCTTTAGCATTAAAAGGAAACGCATCTGAAGCTTTATCGAATCTCCGTACTAGCATTGAGAAGTGCGAGATAATGCTTAACTTTCTACCAAACAAAGATCGATACAAGATATTATTTTTTGATGAGCACGCGTCCCCCTATCGACTGTTTAGTTCACTGTGTTGTGCTACTGGGAAACACTATGAGGCTTTACACGTTGCTGAGCTTGGCAGAGCCAGAGCTCTAGTAGACCTAGTATCAGATCGGTATTTTGTGGAGAAAGAAGTATCCCTCGACCCAGAATCGTTTGCTGGCATTTTGAAGGTCATTAGAGATAGTAGTAACCGTACTTGCCTATACATTTCCTACCATGGTGAAGATATATTTCTTTGGACTGCAAAACAAAGCAAGCCGATAGCTTTCCGAAAAACGAAACTTTCTGAGATCTATGTTAGCAAGCACGGAAAACTGTCTGTGGATGACCTTTTTAAAAAGGGAAGATTATTAAGGAATTTTCACGTTTTACCTCAAGAGCAATGCGAAGACCGATCACTCTTCTCCTCGTACGCCAACCAACTTACAAACGAAGCAAATCTGGAAGATAGTCTCTCATCCTTGCGTCCTCTTTTAGATGAAGAAGAAGTAAACACCGACCCTGAACCGCTGTTTCAGCTTTACAACCTGTTGATTGCTCCCGTAAGTGACTTGCTAGAAGGATCTGAAATCATTGTTGTTCCTGATCGCTGCCTCTTCCAAGTTCCGTTTGCAGCATTACATGATGAATGTAACTGCTATTTATCAGATTCTTTCAGGATACGTATTGTCCCTTCTTTGACGACTCTCAAGCTCATTCTGGACAGTCCAGCGGGCTCTCACAGCGAAACTGGTGCATTGATTGTGGGTGAGCCGAATGTAACGGATGTGTATTTCAAGGGAGAGTTAAGGTACCTCTGTAAATTGCCTGGCGCGAAAGCGGAAGCAAAGATGATAGAAAGACTACTACCTGAATCTCACCTTTTAATAGGAGAGCAAGCAACAAAGGAGGCGGTTCTTCAGAGGATACCCTCAGTAAGTCTCGTACATTTCGCTGCTCATGGTGACGCCGAAAGAGGGGAAATTGCTCTTACCCCTCCCGACTCCACTATGGGGATTCCACATGAACAAGACTACTTACTCTCAATGGCCGACATCTCACAAGTTAGACTAACCGCCAAACTGGTGGTCCTTAGCTGTTGCCATACCGCACGTGGACAGATCAAAACAGAAGGCGTTGTTGGAATCGCTCGAGCATTCTTAGGATCGGGTGCACGCTCAGTAATGGTGGCATTGTGGGCCTTACAAGACGATGCAACAGAGCAGTTCATGAGAAGATTCTACGAAAACCTTGTCCAAGGAGAAAGTGCAAGTGAATGTCTTCACCGGGCCATGAAGTGGATGCGAAATAACGGTTTCTCTGAAGTGAGGCAGTGGGCACCTTTCATGCTGATTGGGGATGACGTGTCATTCCACTTTGGTGAAGAATTAAAAGTAAAGTGAAGGTAATTGCTTTCCAATAATAAGGGCCATAGGAAGTCTGCCAGGTCTTTTTGTATTGCAGTTTTATCAACTTTACATCATGTACTTTTAAGTACTAAATAAATAGCAGTATTTACACTTAAAAGCCACATTGTTGACTAAATCTGAAGTCAGCTTTTACAATGACTGAGATAAAATACCAATCAACCGTTTTTTTAACATCGAAGATACTAAACAATACTGACCGGACGCTTCAGCTAGCGCTCCGCGTTATCGCATATGTGTATTTGTTGTTAGGCTATAGTTAAGATCATTTCTTCTTTTTCTTCGTCGACTAATGTTACTTTTAGTTGTAGTAAGTTCTATTTTTTTTTCCTGTAAACATGACCCGCCTACCCGCGGGCATGTTATAATTATACTATTACCTCAAAACACACAAAAAAATGTATGTTTATATGTAAACACCACAATTATTTGACCACACTTCGGTATTTATCAGTCAAAATCACAACCTATGCATATGTGAGGCTTTGCATTTAAAAACAAAAACACTAAAGCCGCGTATTCCTACAGTAACACATAATGATTTTAAATCTTTTCTCTTTTCCTTATATATGAAGCACAAATAATTGAATATTGTTTCGGAATAAAAATATTATGGCGGAGATCTAGATCTGAAAATTGATCGAAAATCCCGAAAACTACAAATTGTGGACTGTGTATGGAGTTTTGACCGTAACTAGAGGGCTTTTCACGGACACTGACTGAAGTACAGCAGTACACTGGTTCTAAACTTGGACCAAAGAGGAAAGACTGAGATTCGACAGGTCATCAAGGAAAGAAGTTTCAAACCTATTAAGCTGTGCACCCTGTTTTTCATTTATGATGCCAATAATTGGAAAGTTTTAGCGGTGAGATAAATTTAAATAAGTAATTAAACCTCTTCCGTGACATTAATAAAGCCGGAGGATCCCTCTTCCATGTAAAATGAACCTAAATGCCATTTACCTCAGCTGAAGTCTTTTGTAATGAATATATGTGTTTTACTAATTTTTATGTTTCCTATACATTACTGTTGCAGGTATTACACTAACGACACACCATGGAATAACAAAACAGCCCTTTCGCTGAATTCCAGTGAGGTAGTTAGTGGTGGAAAATGTAAAGGTCAACCTCTTCAGCATACGAACATAACCCAGACTAGAAGAATTCAAAAGAGGACTGACTTGCTTGGCCCAGCCGCTCATGTTTGTCGACTTAATTATTTTTCCCACTGATTTTAATCTGTGTGTGTGCGTGGGTGTGTGTTTGAGTGTAGGTACCTTGAATACTCTAATCTCTAAAATGTCTTGCAAAAGTGCTGATCACCAGCCTTGTAAAAGTGTACATCGGTAGCTCGGACAATGATACAACTGTATTTAGGTTATTTGTTAACTTACTTTCTTAATTAGTTCCCAGGGCTACAACTAAAAAATACTTTTCACGTAAACGAGATTCTTAATGCAAATTGAAGTGCAAATGCAAACAACACTGCAAGGTTTATAGTTTAGTAGAATTGTATATATTTTAGAATCAATCTCTCCGTGAACATAGAAGTAGTAATTTTGCAACCTTGTCCAAACTCCAAACTAGTCATCACAGTTGTAAACTAAAGGTTATTTCATTGCATAATGTTGATGCCGGAGAATAGGTTATATAGTACTTGTTTTAAGTATAATCCACCTAAAAAGCAAAGATTTGGTGGTCCAGTTTTTAGTAGTGCTTTGAGTAGGAACAGCATGTCGCGGATCCGAGAAGGTCGCACATGGAGGTTTCATTGTAATCTGTATATACATGTACGTGATCTATATAAAATGCCAAGACTTGGTGGTCCAGTTTTCATTAGTGCTTTGAGTATGAAAACTAATTTTAGTGTGAATTTGAACAGCATGTCGCGAATCCAAGAAGGTCGCATATGGAGGTTCCATTGTAATCTGTATGTATGATCTATATAAAACGCCAAGATTTGGTGGTCCAGTTTTCAGAAGTGTTTATAGTAGGAAAACTAATTTTAGTAGTTCGAACAGCACGTCGCGAATCCGAGAAGGTTGCACATGGAGGTTCCTTTGTAATCTGTATATATATGACCTATATAAAGCGCCAAGACTTGGTGGTCCAGTTTTCAGTAGTGCTTTGAGTAGGAAAACTAATTTTAGTATTTTGAACAGCACGACGCGAATCCGAGAAGGTCGCACATGGAGGTTTTATTGTAATTTGTATATATGTAATCTCACCAGGTTTTTAAGAATAAAGTATATTTGAGATAATAAATTCAACGACGAAAACTTTGTTTACCCTTTCGTTGTTAAGGGTCCTCCTGTTAATCATCTACTTGCTCTTTAGCAAAAAAAATCATTCTAAATTAAAGAGATTTATAATCACATTCACGGTCAGGAGCCGATTAAACTGTTGTATATGACTGTTTTACTTTCTGTATCGACACAAAAACGTTAGTACTTTGAAATTCATGTCGATCAGTTTAATCCATAACAATTATTAAGCACAGTTTGTATCTGTTCATTTCCTAATTCAAGAAAATATCACCTGGGGTCTAATGTTTGCCGTTTGCCTTAAACGCGACTCTAAATCTATTTTCTTTGTAACGACAACCACAATCCATATATTTGGTCTTATAAAAGTTACTGCGGCGATCACTCCCGTCGATTCGGAATCGAAGAATTACGTTTACGACAAAGTCGAAACGCCAGGATCAAGCATTCAAGCATTACAACTACTCAAATTAGGGAAATCGACAGATAAAAACTAAGAAAAAATTATCCTTACAGTTAAACATGGCATGAATGTCTTTTTTTGTTTTGTTTTGTTTTGCTTAGTAAAGATAAACACTTGATGACAAATATAGAGAAAACTACGTTATCAGTAGTATAGGGCACACCGGTTACTCCTCTTTTTTGCGCAGGAATACATTAACTAGGTGACGTCATAGGCTATTGTCTTGATCTCATGAATAAAATGCTGTGGTATCTCATTAACTTGCGGTGGAATCTCATTAAGTATATCCAGTTTGACGGGTTTATCAATGATGTCATGTTCTATTTTTATCTTGTGGCGGTCATGGTTGGTATAACCGGTTTGACAGGTTTTAGTTATTTTTGACGATGATGATATATGTATTCCGGGGTACTATGATGTCATAGTTGTTTTGATTGGTCGACCGGAATTAGAAAGACGCTCATTGGCTGTCTCGTTTGACGAAGCATTCCGGTTGGTTGCCGTATTTTTTATTGTTTGAACGGCATAAAAGCCTGCTCACTGCCTTCCGGCATACTAATTTGGATTTCCTGCATACTAATTAAGTGTCTTCCTCCATATATAATGAAGTGGATAGGTTTACTAATGAGCGTCACTCCACTACAATAGGAAAAATAGGCTTGCCTAGACTTGCCCGGGCTCTTTTAACCCTGATTGGATAGTAAACAATCTATTATGTGTTTAACATAAGAGCGCGCTTTCCCTTCAGTATTTCCTTCTCGCAATCGCTTTGCTAAGGAAAAAGTATTACTATCACCAATATTTTTTAAAACATTGCTCGAAACATGCAAGTCGAATCGAGCTGTAAACTCTATTTCAAGTTTGTCTGACTATTACAGAACTGTTTTCTCCTTTCTATCTCGAGGAAATGAAAAACTATTGAAGTCTTGTCATTTTCACGCACGGTTAATCAGTTAATTATGCGAGGTCACAAGCCCAAAGTTGAATACAAATTAGTTCATCTGTACAGCTAGACCCAAGGGAGTACCTTGACGTATTATTATATAAACAATTTCAAATAACTTAACAAGGATCAATTTGAACACTGAAGTTTAGTTTCCTATCAGAACGCGTGCGGTTCAAACCAAAGATGACGAGCACAGGCTATACCTTATACGTTCAACAAGCAGCTGGAAAATATGAAGACAGCGAAGAAAGCGATTTCTCCCAAGAAAGCGAAGTCTCGCGCCAAGAAACGGAGTCTTCCCAAGAAGAAACAGAAAACCTAGCGCCTTGGTTACGCATTCTTGATGAAGCCGAGAAACGCCATGAGACCCAGCTCAACGCATTGATCATTGAGTACGAAGGGAACGGAGATTCAGAAAATGTGGCCCGCGTGAAAGCCGAGAACGCTCTTCTTCCTGTTTACAGAAAAGAGCTAAGAAAAGTACTCTTAGAGAATCTACAGTGGATGTCTGCAATGAAAAAAGATCCCACCTTCAAAAAAGTGATTGAAATCCAAAAAGAACTAAAAGATACAGAAGGATTCGATTGGTTGGAATCAACAGAACTAGCGATCGATAAGCGAAAACTCTTGCTCAATCGACTGTATCAAAAGCAACCCATTCCACAAGATGAAGATTAGTCCAACTATGAATGATATAGAATTATTTTTCCAAGACCTTTGTATTGTTGCGTTTCAATAAAACCTGTAAACAACCAAACGTTAAGAGTGTTTTATTTCTGACTTGAAAATAATAACAATAATAAACTGATACAATAAATAAAAAAAATCTGAAATTTGAAATACCAATTACTAATTTACGATCAAAACGGTTTTAATTAGGCACTGTTATTTGTGATTACACTGATAAGATGATGATTCCAATGTTGAGAGCTGTTGCGTGACTAGCGACGCGCGACACCCACGCGTGTGTCTGAGAAGATAAAGATACATGACTAGAAATGGCCTGTTTGTCTCCTTTTGTCCCTTTTGGCCTGGTTTTGGCCTTTCAGGCCTGGTTATGGCCTTTCTGGCCTGTGTTTGGCCTTTCTGACACTCTATATACCATATAACCTGACTATTTGCGAAAAAGATGTCATTTGTGTCCATCCATCGAACTGTCAACATGGTTTACAAGAGAGTTTGCAGAAACTGTCCTATTTCATCGTGTGGGGCGACGTAACTTGTCAGATTAGCTTACCATCTCGCGGATGCTCATCACTTAGACCACATACAGCGAAGACATTATTTACAAGAGGCGAAACTA